TCAGGGACCCACTCCCAGCGCCTTGCTCCAGCTCAGACCATGTGGGTCTGTGTCCCAAGCTGGTCCCTGCGCTCATCCTGTCCCCCCCACCCCTAGATCTTCCACATGACGTATGACCTGGCCAGCGCCGTGATGCGGATCATCAACCTCATCGGCATGATGCTGCTGCTGTGCCACTGGGATGGCTGCCTCCAGTTCCTGGTGCCCATGCTGCAGGACTTCCCCCAGAACTGCTGGGTCTCCATCAACGGCATGGTGGTGAGTGCCGGCTCCATCCCCGTGGCCTCTGGCCTCTCCCCACTGACCGGGTGCAAGCAGATCGATGCGGGCGGGTGGAAGATGCCGACAGGGAATCTTTGCCCCATCCCCTGCTGCCTTCTGCTGCTCATTAGTGACAAAGCTGCTATGAATAAATAACGGGCCCTGTTTCTAATTGCTCCCTCTCAGCCCTGCTACGAAGGGCTTTTCTCCCTCCATCCCTCTCTTCCTGCTCTGCCAGCGTTTCCATCTCCGCTCCATTCCCCCTTTTGGGCTTCCTCCTCTTCCTCTCCCCAGCGTCTCGCACTTCTCCTTCCCCGGCTGCTTTGCTCCTGGGGGAAATTGTCCCTTGTGGGGTTGGAACTGGAGGAGCTTCAAGGTCCCTTCCAACCCACTCCATGATTCTATGGAACTCTGGGCTTTGTGCGGGAGGCTGGGATGGGGAATTCCTGCCCCAGGTGGCCCCGGCAAGCTCCTGATCGCTGCAGTAACTCCAGGGCTTCCACAAACCTGGAGCTTGTTCCCATCACAGCATTTATAACACAGGGGCTTCACTGAGCTTTTGTGCATCAGCTCAGGAAGAAATCCATAGCATAGAATGATGTAAAGGGAGCCGGGCGTTGGGGCTGTTTGGATCTCACCTGCGAGGTGGGGCTGTCACAAGCAAACAAATCCTGGTGCTGAGCCCTGGAGATGGAAGGTCCACAATCTGGATCAGCCCCTGGTTGTGCCTACGGCGCAAGGAGGAGCTGAGGCACCCCTGTCGCTGCAGAACGACTCCTGGAGCGAGCTCTACTCCTTCGCCCTCTTCAAGTCCATGAGCCACATGCTGTGCATCGGCTACGGGAAGCAGGCCCCCGAGAGCATGACGGACATCTGGCTGACGATGCTGAGCATGATCGTGGGCGCCACGTGCTACGCCATGTTCATCGGCCACGCCACCGCCCTCATCCAGTCCCTCGACTCCTCCCGGCGCCAGTACCAGGAGAAGGTAGGACCGGGCTGGATGGGGACCACGGCTCCTGCCCTGTGCCCGGCCAGCGCATCCCCTCCTGGAGCCACAGGGCAAGGGCTCTGTGTCCATAGCATCCCATGGGGCGATGGAGACGGAGCAGCCCTATGGAGGGGGAAATGGGTGAGGGATCCCCAGCCTGGCTGGGTGCTGAGGCCGCCTCTCCCTACAGTACAAGCAGGTGGAGCAGTACATGTCCTTCCACAAGCTCCCCGCCGACTTCCGACAGAAGATCCACGACTACTACGAGCACCGCTACCAGGGCAAGATGTTCGATGAGGACAGCATCCTGGGGGAGCTCAATGAGCCCCTGCGTGAGGTGGGGGCCCCAGGGGAGAGGGTGCTGCAGTGAGGATGGGGACTGGCCACGTCCCACCCCCTTCATGCAGTGGAGGGGGTCCCCCCAGCTCCTGCTTGGGGTTGAGCACCTATTCCAAAGGCTTTGCAGCTCCAAGTGGGTCCTTTCCAACCCAAACCATTCCATGATTCTAGGAAACCCGGGGCTCCTGCGTGTGTGAGCCAGCGCAGGGAAAGCCACATCCCCTGTCCCCTGTCCCCTCACCTCCTCCCCTTGCAGGAGATCGTGAACTTCAACTGCCGCAAGCTGGTGGCCTCGATGCCGCTGTTCGCCAACGCGGACCCCAACTTCGTCACGGCGATGCTCACCAAGCTCAAGTTCGAGGTGTTCCAGCCGGGCGACTACATCATCCGCGAGGGCACCATCGGCAAGAAGATGTACTTCATCCAGCACGGGGTCGTCAGCATCCTCACCAAGGGCAACAAGGAGATGAAGCTCTCCGACGGCTCCTACTTCGGAGGTGAGCGCTGGAGGCGTCTGTGCGAGGCACTGGGGCACCCACAACGTGTTGTCCCCCGTTTCCAGGTGGTGTTTGGTCCTTGACACTGTTGTTTTTCCCCCCCCCCCACCTCAACCCCCAGAAATCTGCCTGCTGACGCGGGGCCGGCGCACGGCCAGTGTCCGTGCAGACACCTACTGCCGCCTCTACTCGCTCTCGGTGGACAACTTCAATGAGGTGCTGGAGGAGTACCCCATGATGCGAAGGGCCTTCGAGACCGTGGCCATCGACCGCCTCGACCGCATCGGTAGGGCGCTGGGGGTGCCCTGGCAATGCAGGACTGGGAAGGGGGGGGGGGGGGCTCAGCGTATCCTGACACAGGATCTCACTGCTCTCCCCATCCTGGCCCTGCAGGGAAGAAGAACTCGATCCTGCTCCACAAAGTGCAGCACGACCTCAACTCGGGCGTCTTCAACAACCAAGAGAACGAAATCATCCAGGAGATCGTCAAGTACGACCGGGAGATGGTGCAGCAGGCGGAGCTGCAGCAGCACCCGGCCATGTACAGCCCCGTCCAGCCGCAGGTCACCTCGGCCATCGCCACCCTCCAGCAAGCCGTCGCCATGAGCTTCTGCCCGCAGATGGCCAGCCCGCTGGTGGGCTCCATGGCGCTGGGCTCGCCCCGCATGATGCGCCGCTTGCAGTACGCGCCGGCCGTACCCAGCCCTTTCGCCGTCTCACCGGTCCTGCTGCAGCAGAGCCCCCCTCCGCAGCCGCAGCCTCCCGTGCCCCACACCTCCAACCCATCTCCGGCGCAGGACCCGACGCAACCCGCGGCCATGCCCGCCTCCACCAGCGCCTTCGCCGCGGCCAGCCCGCCGACCCAAAGCCCTCTGGCCGCCCGGACGTTCGCCTACGGCTCGGGGCCGGGGCAGCTCGGCTCGCAGCTCTCGCTCGGCCAGCAGCAGGCTCCCGGCTCCCCGCAGCGCTTGGCCGCGCACAAGAGCACGCAGGCTCTGCCCACCAGCAGCCTCAGCCAGGAATCGCGGCCCCTCTCGGCCTCGCAGCCCTCCCTGCCCCACGGGCCGGGGGCCGGCAGCACCCAGAGCCCCCCGGCTTCGACTCGCGAGTCCTGCGCCTCCATCGGCGGGGGTCCCGCTGCCGCCTCGCCGGGGCCCGGTCCCCCAGCGGCTCTGCGGGGCCCGGGGCCATCGCGGGGGTCCCCGTCGCAGCCGGCGCTGGCGGGGCCGCAGGACTCGGCGGCCGCCGCGCCCGACACGGACCCGGCCAAGTCCAGGCTCTCTTCCAACTTGTGACCTCCGAGCCAGGCGCGGGGCCGAACGCGCCCGCGGGGCACCGAGCGCCGCCTCGCCCCGTGCCCGACCGGGAGCACCGAGTGCCGGGGGTGGGCAACGGGGCCGCTGCACTCACACCACCCCCCCCACACCCCCCCCCCACCTCCAGAACCACTGCAGGGGCACCGGGCTGAGCCCCACTCCCCGACCAAAGTCTGGCCCCACGTCCCGCTGCCCCCGCCGCCCCATAGAAGCCACCGCACCATCCCCGTGAGCAGCTCTGTGTACGGTTATCTCTGACCTGACTCCATCCCTGTGTGTGTGTGTGCATCCGCAGGACACCTCCCTGGGGCTGTAGGCAGCCCCCGGCGCCTGCCCCTGCTCCCCTCCACAGCCCCGAGGCGAGGGGTGACGGTCCGGCACTGGAGGTAAGTTGGAGGGGAGGGTGTTGAGGGCCGGTTTGCCCTGAGGCTTGTTGAGCACCCCACAAACACGCTGCCCCCAAACCCAGCCCCACGGCTCGGCGAGGGGGGGGAAAACAGCCCATCTGCCCACATAGACGCTGGAGCCTGGGCCCCCAAAGCCTGGGGCTGCCCCATAGCCAGACCCAACTTTGAGGCTGGGGAAGGCACATGTGTGTATCAGGGTGTGTGTGCAGGGACACATGTATGTATGTGTGTGTGTGTGTGCGTGTGTATGTGCACGGGGGAGCCTCCCACGCTGAATGTAGGCAGCGAGCGAGGGGCCTGGTGCTGGAGCTGCACAGCCGCGGGCCAGGGCCCCGCTCCAGGCGTCCACCTTCCCCTCCAGCCCATCCTGTGCAATAAACGGCAGCAGCTGACAGAGCCACGCACGACTCCGTCTCTTCTTCCCTCCCTCCCTCCCTCCCCACCGCGGCTCCGGCTGCTCCCACTGCCCTTGCCCAGCCCTGGGAGCGCTGCTGCCCTGCCAGAGCGATGACAAGGTGAGACAAGAGCTGGCTCCCAGCACCTTTCCCCTTGCTGGCAGCACCGTGGCTCTGCTCCAGCGGGGAAGGAGCAGGCTGCAAAGCGGAGCCTATGGGCTGAGCCAAACACACATCCTAAACACGCAGCCCTGGGGTGAAGAGGGCTGGAAATGCAGCCCCTGCACCTACACCAGCTGCAGTGTGGGTCCTCCGGGAGGAACTGAAGGCCAAGCGGGCAGCAGAACAGCAGCAGGCTGGGCACGTGAGCCCCACATCCCCAGGACCACAGCGTGAGGGCCCAGGGCTTCAGATGCCAAGAAGGACCCAGGTCCCAGCTGCTATTTCAAAACCCAGTTTATTTACAGTATCCTAAACCTGCACCCCTCCGAGTGGTTTTCCCTGCCTGAGACCCCGGGAGCAGAAGCAAATCCCATCCCTGAAGATCAGGAGCCACAGAGGCTGTGCTACGGGAGAGCAGGGACAGCACCCAGCAGCAGCAGAGCCTGGAGGGCAGCACGCACCCCGTGGAGCTGAGGTCCTGCACCCTGCTGGTGGGGAGGGATGGATGGGGTGAGGGCACATCCCATCCACCAGCATCCACAGCAGAGAGGTGGGGACCTGGGACACAGGCGGAGACTCTGTCCCTCTGTAGCTGCTCGTTGCAGTCCCCATGTGCCCCAGCCTCGGTGCTGGCAGCTGGACCCACATTCCCCATGAGATGCAGGACAGAGGAGCCCTGGGGGCCAGTGCCTACCGCAGCCTCTGAGGCAGCCCGGGCAGAGCAGGGCCCCGCTGGCTGCTGGGGCTCAGCTGAAGAAATAGGTGGAATCCATCACGTTCTCCAGGTTGAATTCACCTGAGGGAAGGAGGGAGAGGAGAGCTCAGAGGGGAGAGAAGCTGCCCCAAGCCCTGCCTCATGAAACCAGCTTAGATGCAGAGGGGAGGTCAAGAGAGATTTGGAAGGCTTCAGGAGCTGCCACCCCTCCCAATGGATCTGGGAGCAGCGGCCTCCTCCGCCTTGCAAAGGCCCAACAAAGGTTGGCCAGATGGTCTGGCAAACACAGAGCCCAGAGATTAGAAGAGTTAAACTAATTGCCTCAATCCCATTGCATGTGTATCATCTAGATCCTGGCAATTACCATGCCAAGGGCCTCCCTCCCATCTCCAGGCAAATGCCTCCTGCTTGGAAACAGATGGGAGAGGAACAAGATGGGGATGGGATGAGCTGGCTCAGCCTGGGGTAAAGCCCAGGGGAAGGCAGGGATGGCTCCCAGAGCTGCTGCAGGCTCTGCCCCATGGCTCTGCAGCGCAGCACAGGCAGGAACACCCATCTCGGGGGACAGCTTTAGTGCTGTGTCCAGCTTCAGACACCCCATGAGCTCAGTGACTTTGGGGGCCAAATCTCCATCTCACTCCCTTTGTCTCCAAGCCACCCCTGGTCCTGTCCCATGCTCCTACCTGTCTTGGGGACATTCGACAGCTGCTCCATCAGTTTCTTCTGCCAGGGGGCTGTGGTCTCTCCACCAGGGCTAGATGAACCAGAAGGAAAGGAAATGAGCATGGGAACAGGATTTGGCTCTTCCAACCCATGCACAGGCCGCCTGTACCACAGCAGCCCTGGGCAGGGACTGAGGGAATACCTGCAGTACTTCTCCAGCATGAACTCAGACAGATCCTGCAGGATCTTCTCGCTGTGTAGAGCCACAAACTGCTGCCGACAAACCTGCAACCACCAGCAAGCTGGGTCAATCCACCAGCCCCTGGAGCAAAGCCCAGGGGAGGGAAGGGCTGGGGTGTGCCCAGAGGATGGATCAGCAGGATCCCAGCTCCCGAGGATCCGCTTGTACCTGGTTCATCACGTCCACGGTGACTGCGTGAGTCCAGTAGCAATCATGGACCGAGACGAAGGTCAGGCCCAGCCTGGGAGGCAGCAGAAGGTGCCATAAGTGGTGCTGAGAGCCCCCCCTGCCACATCCCCTGCCCCACCGAGGTCTTTGTGCTGGGACGTGAGCAAGGACCACACAAGGGCTCCCTGCAACAGCACCTGCGCATCTTCAGGGACAGCAAACCCCCCCCCCAAACCCCCCTTTAGCTCTTCTCTGCCAGGAAACCCAAACAGCCACAACCAGGAAAACCTCTTTCCCCCACCACATGCAATGTTCTCCCAGGAAAGAGTGATCCTGGAGCCAGGGAAGAGCCCCAGCTCCCTACCTGAGGCAGTGCAGAGCTGTGAGCATCATGTGTGTGGAGTCCAGGGAGTGGATGAAGTTGGGTGGGAAGGCGTTCTTCTGCTTCACCGTGTCAGGCTTCCTGCAGCACAAAGCAGGAGAAGGGAGGAGCTGAGGCACTTCCAAGGCCAAAAATGAGCCCTGGGGTTGATAGGGACAGCCCTGCAGGGCCCCAGGGCCCTGCTGAAGCACAGGGCTCCACTCCTCAGCTGGTTTACTGCAGCTCAGGGCTGTTAACAGGAGCTTTGGCACTCAGTGGCAGGCTCCACTGATGGGAAGGCTTCGTCCCCAGAGCACAGACTGGGGCCAGCAGAGGCTCAGTCACAACCACAGGTTCATACTTACTGGTTGCTGTGGGTGCTTTTCACACTCAGGTGCTGCATGCTGCAGTTCAGCTGCAGGGAGAGAGAAAGGGGGTGAGCCCTCCCTCTGCACTGCCCCACACTCCTGCTCTGCTCTGCAGGGAACCCCCTTGGCTGCCATAAGGGACCCTTCCAGGGCATCCCAGTCTCCAGGCAGTCAGCAGTCCCCTCCTAGGGATGCTGCCAGGCATCCTGCACCCTTTTCCCAGCTGATTCACCCTGCGAGGGCTCCAGGAAGGGCTGCTGGAGGTGAGTGGCTGTGAGGGGAGATGTGAGTCAGAGCAGCAGCACGTGGGAGGCGAGAGCAGCGAGTCTGAATCACGAGAGCCCCGGGAAGGCTCCTGGGAGCAGGGAATGGGCCCGTGCCTCAGCTGCCTGAGTGGGATGGGAGCAGCAGCGCTTCCTCAGCAGCCCCCACCCGCTCCAAGCTCTGCAGGGAGGCTGCAGGATGTGCCTGCACCCACAGATCCACCCTGATGGAGAGCCGCTGGGCTTTAGCTTTCGGCTGTCCTTCCCCTGCTCCCCACCACGGCAGAGGAAGGGGTGGGCTGATTCCTGCACACCACACACTTACCACAGTGGGCCTGGAGCGGTAGTAGGGCTGCACGATGGGGAGACCCAGCGGTGTGACCCACTCCACCGTCTGGCCTGACTGGGCAATGAGCTTGGCACTCTCTGTCAGCCAGTTCTGCAGCAGAAGGAGGTGGCTGGAGTTACTATGGGAGATCCCATCCCCTCCCAGCACAGGTGACCCTGACTCTGCCTCTGCCAGTCCAGTGCTTACAGGGGAGCTTGGCTCTGTACCAGGCACAATCCCACACCTCCATGCTGGGACCCAGAAGAACCATCTCTCCCCATGGAGCATCCCCTGCTCTACGTAGGGGTGGGCCAGCAAAGAAGAAAAGGCAGGAAGAGAGAAGAGGCAGCAGGCACCATACCTGGATATCTCGAGTCGCTGAGAACATCTCCTTGATGCTGTTGAACACTTGCCTTACGAGGTAGTGAGACGCTTCCCACAAGTACTCCTGCAGAGACCAGAGGCAGAGTGAGGGGTCAGGCACAGGCAGCAAAAGACGTGGAGCAAAGTGATGGGTAAGCTAAAAGAGCATCTGCCTCAAAATTGCCTCCATCCAAACCATGTTAAGCCTTGAGCTGCTGCAGGCAGCTGGCTGGGGGCAGTGCTGGAGGGAGGCTCTGATCAGCACTTCAGATGGCTCCTTGTCCAAGGACAGGCTGATGTGTGTGACATCCCAGGATGAGCAGGAGGCTCTCGCTGCCACATCTGTCCCTGCAGCGTTAACACGGCAGCAGAAACACTCCCAGCACCACCGTGCCACAGCAAAGCACCCATTCAGCAAGGACTCACAGTGGGGTCACACAACAAGAAACAGGCGTCAGGGAGGAAGAAGCCTCCAAGAGCTCTGCTAGAGATGAGGGCCACTTCCAGATGGAAGAGCACAGCCACAGACCTTGCTGTGGATCTGAAACCCCACGAGGCTCTCATGCCACCAAGCTGGGCCCCGGAAGGATGAATGGGAGAATCCCTGCCCACCCACCAGTGCCAGCACGCAGCTCTCCTGCAGGCTGGAGGATGCGGGGCTCAGTCCTGCACATCCCTCTCTTAGCTGAGGTTTGGGGGGGGTGGTGGTGTGAAGAGAGAACCCCCCCCAGTGCAGGGGCTGAGAGCTGAGCCCAGGCTGCTCCAGTGGTACCTCGGGGAAGTCATCGATCTCCTTGAGCCTCTTCTCCATCTGCAGGCGGCCGCCGTAGCGGGTGACCCCATAGACCACGGTCATCACGGTCTGCTTCACCACCTTACGGCTGATGAAGCCCTGCAGCACCTGAGCGATCTTCACCCCATGCTCAGCATCCTTCCTCCGGAACTCCTCCACCTGAGGAAGGCAGAGCCCCCAGGTCAGCCCCACGGCAAGCAGCGCTGGCCTGAGCCAGGGCCACCAGGAACCCTGCAGCCCGTTGTCACCAGGCTGGCTTAAGCAGAGAGCATCTGCAGATGGGATGAGGAGCACCTGCATCTCAGAGATAAGGCCACAGAACCTTCCACTGCTGCCTCAGCAGTGTCACTTGGCTGCTGGTGCCGGACACCCCAAGGACACAGCATCAGGACTCAGGTTTTCCTGCCTCAGCCACCCCCCATGAGAAGTCAGAGGAAAACGTGCTCCTCCTGCCCTCTGCTGCTGGGATAAAGCATGCTGAGACCGGGAAGGGAGAACCAGGGGGTTCAATGCCAGTTGAACGAGCCTGGTAGATCCCAACACGCATCCCAGCAGGCTCCTTTCACATCATGTCTTGCCAAGAAAGCTGAAGACTTCGCAGCAGTGCCAAGGGCTGAATCCCTCCCCACTCCCTCCTACCCAGCTCAAACGAAGGAAATCCCATAACCCGTGGGCTAGTTGTGACCAAGAGATGAGGAACATCCTCTGCTCTCTTCCACTTCTTTACCCTAACTCTCATAGACTTCATTGAGGAAAAGTGAAGACAGCAGAAATCCAAGGGATGTCTCATGGCCACCTCTATGATCTCCAGCCTGATCCCCACTGCAGTGATTCCCATGTGGAGAGGGAGAGCTGCCCCTGACCCAGCTCATGCTTTCCCAGCCCTCTGTCCACCGCTCTTATCCCACCCTTTCTCTTTGGGAGCTGAAGGGACCGCTGGGCATCAGCAGCAAGAGGCAGGTCCTAGGACACCTCCTCGTGTCCCCAACGTGTCTCACCTGCTGGGCCACCGCGCTGTAGACATCCTGGGGCGCATCGCAGGGCATCAGATTGACCGAGATGGCACCAATAAGGTCCCGGCCAAGAGCTGCGTAGTGCTGGAGCCCATTGCAGGAGCCATCCTGCGGGTGGAAGCAAGGTGGCAGGGTGTGGATGGAGCACAGACAACCTCCTGAGCCAAGGGCATTGCTGTCCTCCCTCCTCTCTCCAGCCGGGTTTGCAGCTGGCCCAGGAAACAGCAGTTTCCATCTTCCTTCTGGCCAGTTCTGACTGGGTCTCAGCCCTAACTGCTGCTGCCTGTGAGGCTCGAAACCAGAAACCCTCCCAGCATGCTGCCCCCTCTGTGGGTTTCCAAAGACATCAGAGCTCTGTGGCAACCCTGAAAGGCAGGGCATGTGGAAAACAACAGATCTGTTGGTTTCAGATGCTAAAAGAAGCCCCAAGAGCCTCAGAAAACCCAGGAGGAGGCGAGCATCGCTCAGTGAGCCACAGCTGACCATGATCCTTCTGACAGAACCCAGCCCTGGCTCAGAGCTGCAGTTAGGGACACACTGAGCCATCCATCACAGCAACTGCCTTGACAGTCCTCCTGGACCCAGATGAGATAGACAGGACCTGCACAATGGAATGGGAAGGTCCTGCTGCTCCCCAGACAGCACCAAACAGAAGACCTGCTGCTGCTTTGGACCGGCCCTGCTCCTCCTGTGCCTGGTCCAGGGGAGCTGCCAGCAGGATCAAACCCTCTTCTCCTCTTCCCCTCCTCCCCACAGCCTGCAGTGCAGCAAGTTGCAGAGCTGAGCACTGGGAGTGCTCGGGCACCAGCCCTGTGGTGCCGCAGCAGAGGAGCTGCCTCTGCTAACCCAGTGCTGATGACTCAGGTGGAAAGAGGCTGAGGTGTCCTCCACAAGAAGTCCTTGCTTCGGTTTGATTAACACCCCCTCGGCTGCTCTCTTGATCTCTTGTTGTCATAACAGTATCAGTTGAGACTGTCTCAGACATATTCCAGACCATTGCTGCTGGCAGAATACAGCCCCCTTCATCATCCCCCCCCCTGCTTCGTTATGGCCATCTGATCTAATGAGATAAATGAGTAAACCTCTCCCTAGGAAAACAATTCATCACTGCCTGCCATGGAGCAAGGGGATTTATCAGTGTGGACAGATAGCTGGCTGGGCACTGGCTGCAGAGCTGCTGGGAGAGGCCTGAGTGCTGGTTAAGGCTCCTCTGTCCTGCTAGGAAGGACAAACACCTTCCAACAGCGCCTGCACTCATCCTGCTCAGAGCGTGGGCACAGCTGACATCGAGCAGGGACAGGGCACAGGGTGACAGCCACGGCACTGACTCAGCTCTGTCCCCATGCCCTTCTCCAGAGGTCCACACCTCCCAGCTGTAACTTCAGCCTCCGAATGGAAGCAGAGACCCCCAAAGCCTCAGCGCAGCCCCAAGCACATCAGAGGCAGGAGCTGCCACAGACCTCACCTCATCCCACCCCCACGGGGCCAGGCTGGCTTCCAGCCCTCACCCTGTGGCTGGAGAAGGTGACACTGGCCCAGCCCTCTCGCAGACAGGCTCTGCTCCAGCCACAGGAAGCCAAAGCAGCACTCGCCTGGCTCACTACTGCCTGCCTGCAGCAGCGAGTTCCTGGACTTCTCCAGCCCAGCTGCCTCCAGACTGTGCTCCCATCCTTAGGGAAGCCTGGCCATGGTGTAGGTAACGCAGCACTGGAGACCTGGATGCTTCCACACTACCCATTTCCCTCTGCCAGCCCAGCCAAGCAGATCTACCTGGTGAATTGGGAAGTGGGAGATGTAGGCTGCGGGATCCGGGGACCTCGAGGCTTTGGCGATTTCCATACAGCAGGCCAAGGCTTGCCAGGGCTCATCCGTGTTCATCCACCACTTCCTGCCCTGGAAAGAGGAAAGCACACGTTGGCAGGAGCAGGCAGTGCTCCTGTGGCACCCCAAAGCGAAAGCAGGAGCCCCTGCGTTCCCAGCACATACTGGTCCAGGCACCTCCTCCGCTTCCCAAATATTTCCTCCTGTTTTCATATAGGAACGTGTTATTTAGGGAACCCTGCAACGCTTTGTTTCCCTTTTTCCTCTCAAAGCGGTACCTTTCCAACCGTCTTTGTTTCAAAACCAATCTCATTTCCATTCTACTGTCCTCTCTGAAAGGAATGGCTGGGTCTCCTCTGAAACTAAGGAGCACACTGATCCCTTTTTCCCTTAGCGCATTTAGGTAATTCCCATTCAGGCTCCAACACAGACAAACTTCCCTGCTTCCCAGGTGAAGGGGAAGGCTCCAGCCTGCCAGGGCTCCCACCACTCCACCCCAAGAGCTCCCCGTGTACCGTGAGCGGGTGGTCAGCCGAGTCCAGGATCTCCTCCATGATCTCATTGGCGTACTCCAGGCGCTCCTGCAAAGGGTTCTTCTTCTTCAGCCCCGTGAGGTTGATGAGGTGAATCTTAAGCCAGTCCAGACCCTTGGGCCCTAGGGGTCTTCCCTCTGCAAAGAGCAGGATGGCCCGGATGACATCGTTCCCGAGGTGGTTGAAATAAGGTGGGCAAGGGTAAGTCCTGCCTCGGAAGTCCATGTTGTGAGGAAACCAGAACACCCTGTCCCTGACGTAGTTGGCGATGGAGAGCTTGTAGAGCGCGTCCATGCGCAAGCTGTGCATTTCGGCTGCCTTCTTCTTGCACAGCAACAGCTCGTGCTTCTGGGCCTTGTCCAAGGCAGAGGGATTGCTGGGAGCAGCGGGAGGCTTGGGGGCCTCGGAGAGGGGCGGGGGGATGTCCAGCTTCTCGTTGCCTTTGTCGTTGAAGATGGAGATGATGATATCCAACACGGGCTGGTTGATCTTCCAGGCGCAGTTGCCCAGCTGGTTGAGGGCATCCAGCACGGGGTGGAGGTTCACCAGAGGACACTGCTCCAGGAGCAGCTGGTGCTGGATGGCCCCGTCCACAAAGCGCATCAGGTTGGTGTCGTTGAGGAAAAAGGCCCCAAAATGGGGGGAGGTCCAAGGCACTGGGGGGCACAGCATGGGGATGGCGGAGGAGTTAAAAGTCAGCATGGTCTCTGCAGCGTCGGACATGATCTGACAGAAGATGGGATGGGGCTTTATCAGCCCAACCTGAAGAGACGAATCAGAGAGGTGAAGGTGAGGGCTCTGGAAGAGCTTGTGGCCAGTCAGCCACGATGTAAGGAGCAGCTAAAGACACTGCACGGAACCAGGGGCTCCTCAAAGCATCCCTAAGCAGGAAAGGCAGCAGGGAGGGACAAGGGCCTTTGCAAAGGCCTGGTTCCAATGCAGAGCTGACCTGCACAGCCCGAGAGACCCCAGCATGAGGCTCACCTGACAACTGCTGCGGAAGGAGTAGATGTGGTAGAGGGCAGGGATGAGCCTGGGCTCCAGGCGAGGGCTCAGGATGTTCCTGGGCATCTTGACAGCCTGCACCAGCAGCTCCAGCATGTGCATGCCCAGGCGCATGAGGAGCACATAGGACCAGCTGCTGTCCTTCAGGCTCAGGGAAGGCCCAAAGCCTGTTTCTGCCACCAGCTTCTCCCAGTATTCCCGTGGCAAGTACTTGGCAGGCTGGGAGGTGGAAGGAGAAAACTGGGTCAAGCAGAGGGACCAGGCATGCTGCTGCTGGGGGTGGTGCTGGATGGGATCTATGTGGCTTGGAGAAGGACCCTCCTGTCTGTGTGCCCCTATGAGGTCCTCCCTGCCACAGGCATTGGGGGCAGGACTGTTGATGTGACTGGGACAAGCCCAGCAGTGAGAATCTGCTGCTGCTGCAGGCCAGGCCAGTGGCACTGCACATCCCTTCCTCTCACCAATCCCTGTGCTCACATCTCACCCCCACACACCACCCCCTGCCCTGCCAAGCACTAAACGGGGCCTTACTGGTTCTGGTGGCCTCTGCAGCAGCAAGTTCCCAGAACCCAGACCTTGTGCTTGTGACGGGGTGGACAAACTGCTTTGTCCCATCTCTGCTCTGCTGCTGCAAGGCCACAGGCCCCCTCCTGTCCCAGGCATGCCTACCTGGCCGTCCTTTGCCAGCAGCTGGATGTAGCCCTCATAGACCACCCGCATCTTCTCCAGCTGACCACTGCACAGCTTCCTCCGGGTGATGTATCTGTCGTAGACTTTGGAGCCCAGCTCCTTGGCCAAGACAGCCAGGGATTCTCCTTGTGGAGACAGGGTGTTGAGCATCTGAGAAAGGGGAAGGCAAAGAGGGTCTTGAGGAGGGAGGAGCAGAAAGATGGAGCAGAGAGACAAACCCCCTGTGCAGGGAGCATGGGAAGATGCCCATTCCCATGGTGCTGAGCAGAGGATAAGGAAGGAAACATGGCCAGGACAGAGCAGGGGCTCCAGTGGCTGCTCAGCACAGGGAGCAGAGCCTGTACCTAACAACCTGGGCAGGCTCATATCCTGATTCCGCTGGCCCAAGAAGGACAACAGTGCTTTGCAGCAGCCCTTTGGCCATCCAAGCACCCTGTTCCTGCAGCTCTGCGAGGGCAGGGCAGGGTCCTACCTGGAGCATGATGCCCACGTACTCCTCCTCCGGCAGCAGGCACAGGTAGGGGTACAGCACGTTGTACCTCGATGCTGTCTTGAGCTTGGCCATGTTGTGCTTTGACTTCTGCAGGGCCTGGAGGATGGAGTCGTGCCACTGGGAACGGAGGGTGGCCAGGAGCTTGCGCTGCACAGGAACAGGAGTAAGGCTGAACTGCTGTGATGAGAGTGCCACCAGGAAGCTGTCCCCCTCCTCAGGCCACCTCCCAAGGTGCTGAGGGCTGGCCTGTCCCCCCTTCCCTCCTGACCTGCAGCCCCATCACTCCCTGAGCTTTACCGCTTTAATGGCTTGTGGGGTCAGAGGTTTGCTTGACTCCACCGACTCGATGGTTATGGTGTTGTTCATCTCCAGCTCCAGCTGCTTCTGAAAGCACTCCTGCAGCTCCTGCACAGAGAAATCCAGCTTGGGGTACGGCACCATCTTCTCCTGCAACCAGAGCGAACCAGTAAGTGCCAAAAGCCAGAGGGAGAATCATAGAATCACAGTTAGGATTGGAAAGGACCTTAAGATCATCCAGTTCCAACCCCCCTGCCTTGGGCAGGGACACCTCACACTAAACCATCTCACCCAAGGCTCTGTCCAGCCTGGTCTTGAACACTGCCAGGGATGGAGCATTTACAACCTCCCTGGGCAACCCATTCCAGTGCTTCACCACCCTTAAAGAACTTCCTCCTTATATCCAATCTAAGCTTGCCCTGTTTAGGTTTGAACCCATTACCCCTTGTCCTGTCACTGTAGTCCCTAATGAAGAGTCCCTCCCCAGCATCCCTACAGACCCCTAAAGAGAAGACGGCTCATTCCCCCAGCTCCCCTGCCAGAGGCACGTGGGACAAGGCCCCTCTGAAGGCACCTTCCTGGCACCCAGAGGTCCACAGGTCTGAGGCCTCAGGGAGCCTGGAGCACCCTGCAGAGACACCCTGAGCTCCGGGGCTTACCCTGGAGTAGAAGTCCTGGAGCAGAGAAGACTTGCAGGTCTCTGGGCTGGGTGCAGGGGGCAGCTGGTAGTTGGGTTGGACCATCCTGACGGCCTTCAGCACCTTCTCCTTCTCATCCTCCTCAAACAGGCACTTCTGGAAGAGCTCATCCACATGGAAGCCATCGTGCTGCAGCTGCTGCATGCACCTGAGGAGGGGTGGATCAAACAGGTCAGAGCTTTCTCAAGGGACTGTGCACAGAAAGGAGCATGTCACAGGGCAGGGAACAAGGGGTTTAAGCAGAGGACCAAGCATGAAGGACACAGATGGGGCTTGCCCTTTGGAGGATCCAAGAGCCTCGACCGTATCAGGCTTTTCCTTCCTCATATGCGCCCTGAGCAGCATCACCCAGACCCACGATGGGATGAAGAGCCCCCCCATCCCAAACCCCTGGCACCCACAAAAGCAAAACCCTCTCCCAACGCAGGGCCTGAGGGGGAGCACCCCCCAAGAATGAGCTCTGAGCACAGGGCAGGAGACTGAACCCCAGCCCCAACCCATGCCAGGAGGGCTGGGGAGGCCTCTCCATGCTGGGTGCTTCCCAGCAGCTTTCCTCTGTGCCAGCTGCAGGAGGGTGCAGCTTCTTCACACTCACTGGGAAGGCTCTTGGCAGGGCTGGGGAGCAGGATGTGCCCCATGCACTTGCCCTGGGATGCCTCTTCCCTTCCCCTACACACTCCTCAAAGCATGTTCCATGCAATAACCGGTGCCTGATGGAGCTGCTGGCTCCCTGCAGCAAAAGGGGCATAACTGGGACACCCACCCAAGGCTGATGCCTCAGTGCTCCAGGAGCACCACTGCAGGGCACGCTGGCAGCAGGATGCTGTCCTGCAGGAACATGGGAGCTCTCCCTGCTCCCCACCCAGGCAGGAGCCAGCTCTTGGGAGCTGCCTCCAGCCTGTCCCCACAAGGTCACCAGCCTCAGGTTACAGCAACCAAACCATCCACCCTCCACTGAGCTTTCATCTTCGTGCTCAATGGGGAGGCTGAGCAGGAAGATGCAAGTTCCTTCACCCCCAAAGAGCCCTCAAGGCTCCCCCTCCAGCCTCAGCCAACAGGAAGGAACCCATGGGGCTGGGCACAGCTTGGGCACTGTGGTTCATGCACCCAGCCTGGGGGCCAGGGCAGGGCTGCAACGGGAACAGTAGCTGGAAGCTCCCTTCCCTGCAGCCCCCATGGCTGCTGGGGGGGGGCAGAATCCCCTCCTGCACCATCTCCCAGTGCCCAGCCCCACAGAGGATGCTGTGGGATGACATCCTCCCGGATCTGAGGGGCAGCAAGAGCCCAGAGCCCCAGCCGAGCCCATGCTGGGTGACACTGGAGGAAGGACAGGGACAGTGGCACCAGCCAGGCCCCCATGGGAGCAGAGCAGCAGGCCCCCTCTCCCAGGCTCTCAGCACCCTGGGCCACACCAGGGGAAGGAAGCAGAACCACGTTACCTCCAGACGGCTTTGACGCAGAAGGGGTTCCGACCCATGCACTCCAGTGCTGCTGCGTAGGAATCCAGGTTGGGCCGGAGCCCAGCAGATTCCAGCATGGAAAACAGGGAGTTGATGCGCTGCAGACAGCCCTGGGGAGGAGAAGGGAACGGTGCTGTGGATACAGGCACCAGCAGCCCCACATCCCTCTGCTCCTGTTCAAATCCAGCCCCATCTATCCTGCCCCAGCCCCTCAAAGCCACCTCATGGGGATCAGCGGCCTCATACCAGCTCCAGCCCTCTCTGCAGAAGCTTGGCACCCGTGCTGAAGGCAGATGTGACACAGCTCAAACTGTGACCACAGCTTGTACGAGCACAAAGCTCTTCCTCCTGAGCCCTGTCCCCCCCACCCAAGACACCCAGAAACCCACAGAGCAACAGGTCAGTACCTTTCTTGCCCAGCTCCGCATCACGATGTTGTACGCGCTGACATTCAACACCTTTCTCTTTGACCGGGACCTGTGGTACATGAGGAGGAGCCTCTCTGCTTCCTCTGGCTGCTGCAGGAACAGGAAGCACTCCAGGTTGGACTGGATGGTCTGCTGCAGGATCTTGACCTGGCTGCTCTCCTTGTCATCCAGCACCCTCTGGCCTGGCACCTTCACAGCCTCCTTCCCTGCTGCCACCGCGGGCTTCCCATGGGCATGGACACCGTGAGAGCCAGCATGGCCCTGGCTCCAACCTGCAACCGCTTTAGTCTTTGGGGTCTTCAGGCTCTTCTTGCCTTTACCTTTGCCTTTCACCTTGCCCTGGGCTTTGTCCTTGACCTCAGTCTCCAGAGCCACCTTGGAGGCAGCGACAGGCAACACCTGCTCCACCTTCAGCTGCTGGATGCGCGCCTCCTTCTTCAGCTTCTCAACCCAGCTGCTGGTCCTGGCCAGGCTCTCCCCTCCTTCCTTGGGAGCCACCACCTCCTGCAGCGGGTCCTGGCACTTGGCATCACCCAGCAGGGCCAGCTCCACTTTGCTGACCGTCACCTCTGGACCATTGGTGGCTTGGAGCTGCTTCACCCGAGCTTTCAGCACTGCCAGGGAACACAGAGGGGGGGATTAGTGAAGGGATGCAAAGCCTGAGCACAGGCTCTGTCCTACTCCAGGGACCTTGGGAGCACCCAGGAACACGCTCAGGAGAAGAGGCTCCACACCAGGACTTCTCCCCTCCTTGGCCAGCAAATGCCTGGATCACTGTGGTCCTAGCACCCACCCCAGGGACCGCAGCATCATCACTGCAATGACAGGACACCAGCACACGCTTGTCTGCTTCCCTGGGCCTCTCTGCAAGGACCTCACAGCCTCAGCCCAAAGCCAGAGCAGGTTCCAGGTCAGTCAGCAGGGCCCTTCCTGGGAGCAGGATGGGCCTGCAGGTCCCTAAGGACAGGGCAGAACGTGCTCAGGGTAAGCAGGACGCCCATGGGAAGCCCCACATCCTTGCTCAGGCTATTTCCCTTCCCGAATACGTTCTACCTGGAGGGGGAAGGCCCTGGGGGCACCCCCGGGCCGCTGCAGCTCTCCCACCTTGCAGCAGCTCGGTCCTCTCACAGGGAACGTTTCTCTTTGCCTTCTTGGCGCTGGCAGAGGAGTAGCTCCGGAGGATGCTCCATGGGATCCCTGCAGTGGGAAAACACCAAAACCCGGGGCTCAGAGGAGGCTTCACCCCTTCCAGCACTCCCTGCCCCACACCATGGCTGGGGACGGGGACAGGGCCCCCCCCCCCCCCGTTGGAGGTTGGGGGGCCGTAACCCCAGGGACGCCCCAAGCCCCAGCACCCCCGAGCAGGCCGATCCCAGCGCTGGGCCAGGCTCCAGAGACCCCCACGGCCGCCGCTGTTGCAATGACAGCGGCCCAGGGCCAAAAGACACCGGAGCCCCGCCTCACCGCAGGGCTCCGGGCACCGACCCCGTCCGGCTCCGCGCACCCGTGCCCGGGTCAGCCCTGCGGGAGCCCCCGCTCCGTCCCCAGGCCCCGGGGGAGGCCTGCGGGGCCGCTCAGCCCCGGAGAGGGAGAGCCCCCCCCCCCCGGTTCCCGTTTCCCGTTCCCGGTTCCCGTTTCCCGTTCCCGGTTCCCGTTTCCCTTTCCCTTTCCCGTTCCCGTTCCCGTTCCCGTTCCCGTTCCCGTTCCCGTTCCCGTTCCCGTTCCCCGCCGCTCACCGGCGCCCCGCAGGCGGCCCGGGCCCGGCAGCGCCGCCCGCAGCAGCGACATGCCCCGCCGCGCTACGCCGCCATGCCCCGCGCTCTGCGCAGCCGTGCCGCAAAGCACGTCGGGAGCCGTAGTTCCGCCAGCGGAGGACTACAACTCCCATGGTGCAGCGCGGCAGGGCAACTCGCCCGCCCCCCCCCCCCTCCCGTCCCGGCGGAAAGCGGAGGCCCCGACGGGACGGGAGCGAAGCCCCGCGGGGCCGGCGCTGGGACACGGCGCTTCCCCGGGTGCCAACCGGCACCGAGCTCCGCGCCCCAAGCGGACACCGCCCCCATGCCCGCGGCCCGCGCCTCTCCCCCAAACCTGCCCGAGGAGCCCGGCCCGGCCGCCGCAGAAGCCGGTGCGGACCGGAGCATGTACCACCCCCCGCCCCGGCGCCCCGCAACCGTAGGCGGGTGGCCCCGGCCGGGGCTAAAAGGCAGCCGTCGGGGTGCCGGGTGATGAATGGGAGCCCCCGCCCTTCGCCCCCACCCCTCGGCCCCGCCCCGCGCCATTGGCCCCCGCCCCGGCTCGCTTTGCTCCGCGCTCGGGCCGCCCGCGCCGTCGGGGCCGGTCGCGGCCGTGGCTATGGCCGCCCTCCCGCCGTCCCTCCGCGCCCCGCCGTCCGCCCGCCGCCCGCCGCTATGAGGCGCGGGGGCCCCGCCGCCCTCGCCGCTTGCCTCGCCGGGGCGTTCGCCGTGCTGGCGGGGCCGGGGTCTGGGTCGGGCAGCAGCGCCTGGGGCGGCCGGCGGCCCCCCCGCAGCTACGGCCACTTGGAGGGCGACGTGCGCTGGCGCCGGCTCTTCTCCGCCACCCGCTTCTTCCTGCGCATCGACGGCAGCGGCGGCGTGGAGGGGACGCGCTGGAGGGAGCGGCCGGGCAGTGAGTGCAGCCGGGGCGAGGCGGGGCGGGGTCCCGCCGCCCTCCCACCGGAGCCCAGAGCCCAGTCCCGGGGGGCTGCGGCAGAGGCGGCCGGAGCCGGGCACAGACGGGGCAGGGCCTGGACGGGGGCGCCTGTGACGGCGACGGGGCCCCGCTGTGCCCGGTGCCGGGGAGATGCCGCAGCTCCTCCAGTGACCGCGCGTCCCCCCTGTCCGTCCCCGCGGCCGTCGGGACACGATCGGCTCCTCCTGCACTCGCCCCCCCCCCCGGAGGGGTCCGGCTTCTGTCCCGCGTTGTTGGGGCGACGGAAAGCGCAAGGAGGGAATGAGAGGGGGGTACCCGGGCGGCGCGGGGTGGGGGGAATCCCTTGCCCTGCGGCACAGAGCGGGGGGGTTCTGATCATTCCCTGTAGCCGCTCTGGGCAGGATAAAGGCTGAAGAGGATGAGGAGGGATGGAGGACGATGTTGGTCTCAGCGCTGAGCATCCATGAGCGTGGTTTTGGGGAGAGGAGCTGCCCCATCGAGGGAATCACAGAGCATCCACTGCCCGCAGGGCTCCCGGTGGGCAGAGCCGGCAGCCCCTGGCGTGGCACAGGGGCACAGCACCCCCGGTGCCGTGGGGTCAGTTGCTGCAGGATCCCCACGGGCTGGTCCTCCTCATGGGGCCGGGCAGCACATCCGGGGGGGACGGGACGGGACAGAGGGAGCAAACGCTGAAGGATGTCGGCGCTGCCCAGACTGAGCTGCGATCCGGAGCCTGGGAACAAGCCGGCAGGATTAGGCCTTCCCCTGGGGCTGGGGCTGGGGCTGCTCCACCCCGCAGCCCTCGGGAGCGGCCGCGTGTGCCGGTGGGGAGAGGCTGATCCCAGGGTCCGGATCCTGCTTCCACCGGGGCCCCTCCGTGGTGACAGCGCCGTGGGTCCTGAGGGAATGCGGCACCTGCAGTGAGCGCCAGAGCTGCCAGCCCAGGCTCAGCACCCATGGTACCAGCCCGTTTTGGGTGCTGGGTTCTGGTCCCCGTTGACAGGGAGTAGGCACCGGGCTGACAGGGGGGTGCTGGATGGGGGTGATGGAGATGCCCGAGTGTTCCAGGGGGGACTGGCAGGGAGTTGGGATGTGGGGCAGGAATGATGCTGAGGATGGGAGCAGCATCCCCCAGCCCATGTCCCGCTGGCAGCAGCGGCTGCCCCTGTCACCCACCCAGCGCAGGATGAGGGAGCCACGGCTCAGGGAGCCCTCCTGCGGTGCCGGAGGCTGTTGGGAGCCCCAGACGGGAGCGCTGCCAGCACCAAGCACCCCAACACGTTCATTTGCCATGGGGCCTGGCAGGAGAAGCGGCCCCGGGCGCTCCCATGGGGCTCACTCTGCTTATCACTTGGGCTCTTGCTCTTCAGCCTTCACCATGGCTGCAGTGGGGCTCTGGGACTGGAGGGGTGAGACTGGGAGCCTGGTTCTGTCCTCCAGAACCAGGCACCGGGAAGCAAAGCGCCAGGGGCTATTTTGGGGACAGCACAAGTCCTTTGTTATAAATAGCAGCTCCAGACAGGGATCAGGTGGGGATGGAGTCACAGGCACTTGCTCAACCCTGCCCCATGGCTGCAGCTTGGCAATGGCTTCACTGAACCCTGCAGGTCCTGGTGGGTGCCAGGGGGTTGGTGCCTGGTGAAAGCCCCCACCCCGAGGTGCTGGAGCTGCCGTCTCATCCTCATCCAGTGGTGCCCATGGGCTGCACCTCACCCCTTGCCCGTGTCTCTGTCCACTGGAGCTCGGTTCTCCCCTTCCCACCGCAGCGTGTGCCCGGTGGGCAGCAGGGCAGGATGCGGTGCAGGAACCCAAAGGCCCTGCCGATGCTCTGGGTGTTTCCTGTGTCGGAGCTGCTGGTCCGACCGCATGCCTTTCCCATTAGCGGCTGTGCCGGGCACACACCAGGGCAGCCACAGCCCGGCTGCAGCCACCTCCCGGGCTCATCTCCACATCCTGCAGCACCATCGCATCCCTTCTGCCCACGGTGCCCGGTGCAGGGCCGTGTATCCGCACTGGTGCCACCAGCATCCACAGGCAGCACCGTCCCAGCCTCATCGGGCTCCTGGGAACCGGCTGGACCCTGGGGAGGAGAGGAGTAAAGATAGAATCCTCCCTGGATCAGAGGTTCCCAATCTCGGCTGAGCCCTCATTCCCTGTCCCACAGGCATCGTCGAGATCCGGTCAGTGCGTGTCGGCGTCGTGGCCATCCGTGCGGTGCACACCGGCTTCTACCTGGCCATGAACAAGCGGGGCAGGCTCTATGGGTCGGTAGGTCGGATGCTGTCTCCGGGGAGTGGGGTCGGAGGCACAGGGGGTCCCAAACCCACCGGGACCGGTGCCCAGGAGCAGGCTTTTGATTTCCTGTGCGCTGCCCCGCTCCCCATCAGGGGCTGCACCCACAGAGCATCCCCCAGGCACTGGTGTCCTGCTCTGCCCCTGGGCTCCATCCCACCGGAGCAGGGTGATGATGGGCGCCGAGCGCAGCCGCCGCTCACCCCCTTCCCTCTCCTGCCAGAAGGAATTCAGCCCCAACTGCAAGTTCATGGAGCGCATCGAGGAGAACGGCTACAACACGTACGCGGCGCTGCGCTGGCGGCACCGGGGCCGCCCCATGTTCCTCTCGCTCAATAGCAAGGGCAGGCCACAACGAGGGGGCAAGACGAGGCGGCAGCAGCTCTCCACGCACTTCCTGCCCATGCTCGTCGGCTGAGCCCGTCCCGGGGGAGAAAACTTGGGGGGGGGAAAGGGTGATTTTATTTATGTACAGATCTATTTTTATGTTATTTATTGGTTTGGTTTGGACGGATGCGGAAGGAAGATGCTCCAGATGCAGCCGTGCAGGGATGCGGCTCTTCCCTGCCCTCCCGTTGTGGCAGGGACCAGGCAGCCAGCTCTCTGCCACTGGCGTGTGTGTGTGTGTGTGTGCAAGGGCTGGGACGTGTCGGTGGGTTGTATTTGGCTCTTGTCCCGGCACTGGTGGCAATTAAAGCTGTGTTCATGGCATGGAACAGGCAGTGGGTGTTGGTGCTGTGAGGGTGGGTTTGGGTCCCCTGGGGTTGTGCCTGCATCCCCCAGCAGCATCCCTGCTGGACCCAGCTCCAAACACCCCCGGGAAGCACCAGTGATGGGTGTTCAGGGGCAGGAAGGATGGAGCAGGGAAAGAGCCTGGACCCTGTGCTCACACTTGATGTGTTACCAGCACCCGCTCCAAATGGGAGCATCCCCTGGGAGGTGCCAGGCTCAGCGCAGGGGGATGCAGCCCTAGGGACATAAAGGGACAAGGCAAAGGGGGATGAGAGGGTCACAGCTGCTGTCCTGCTGCATCACGGCAATGGGCTCTCACCTCATGAGCCAGCCCAGACCCTCAGGTGCACACAGCCCTGCCTAGGGGGAGTGAGGATGCTGCTCCCCACCATGTGCAGACCCTGAACTAGGATGTCACAAGCAAAGGGACCAGACTTGGTCCCCAGTGGGAGCACCAGGACCCCCATGGATGCAAACGATGCCCAGTGGGCACCGAGGTGCAGTGGGGCTGCCCCATCCATTATCCCCAGTGGAAGTGGAGCTGGGAAGGTGGATGGTGACCAGCCCCTTGCCTGGAGGGGAGCATGGGCACAAACAGCGCCAGGGCTGGTCCTGCGCCACGCTCCGCAGCCAGGCACCGCAACCTGGTCACTTTGTCACGTCAGACACGATGGCCCCACTGAAAACCACCAAACTCGTTCCATTTCCTACCCAACCAGCTCCAAACGAGTCTGAGAGAGGGAACTGCCACCGCGTTAACCGCGTGGTGACCGCGGCGCGGGCCGGGAGCCTCTGCCATGCACCCACCATGGGCTGTGCATCCCTCTGAGCACTGCTCACGCAGGGGGAAATCAGCCCCCGAGCTCCAGGAGCCACACGCACCATCTGCAGCTGGAGTGTGCTCGGAGAAGGAAGGGATTTGAAGGGCTCCCGGGCTGCCTTTTGGTGAGTAGAGAGCAAAGCTTTGCCTCCACGCTGCTGGGCACACACGGGCTTAACCAGGGCCCTTCCTGCTGCCACCCACTTCCCAAGCCCAGGAGCTCGGAGGACGAGCCATTTACCCTGATCTACCAGTCCTGAGATAAAGCCTGGTCCCGCAGGCATCTGCCCCGTGAGATGAAAGGCGCCGCTGGGCTGCCCTGGCAAAGCCAAGGAGGAAAAACATTCCAGGGGAGTTGCTCAGCACCGGCCACGCTGGGCCGGATTGGCAAAGGCTGCTGCCACCCGCGCCGGGGACGTGGCTCCAACAAACCTGCCCTCCTTGTGGTCCAGAATGGCCCCAAACCCAGCAAACGAGGTCCCTGCCTTCCCCCTTTTAGGGGGGGGACACACACACATCCTAGGTTAAGGCCACGCTGCAAGAGACATCAAACCCCCATGTCCTGATGCTTACCCTGGAGCACGCAGCGCTGCCGCAAACACCCCGTGCTCCCAAGGCTGCTGAGGCCACACTGGAGATTCAGAGCAAAACCAAGCGAGGTTCTGCTCCCCTCCTGGCCCGCTGAGCACAGACACAGGTAGGTCACTGCCTGCTCTGGTCACATTCTTTTCATTCTCCAAGCTCCTGTCACAGAAACCACCCCTGGGTCCTGAGCTCTCCTTTTGTAATCGGCTGTGTTTTAAGTAGCTTGGAACTACATTTTTCTCCATGCAGACTGTGGTTTTTTTCCCCTGTCTCTATCACCCGATCACGATAGTTGGGCTGGGCCTTGCTCTGCTGCACGCCCCATCCCGATGGCAGCACAGCAGGAAAGGCTGCTCAGGCAGGACTGCAACAGGGAGGTGTAAAAATACATCAGGTCAGGCAATGCTCCTCTCCACTGTGATCCCAGCGATCCGCAGGCTGGTAACACACCTACAGGCACTGGTACCCGGGGTGGGACAGGACACTTGGCACCACGGCGCCAGGCACTTACCCTGTCCTGTTCCTCAAACCATGCAGAACACCTCGCTGAGCTGAAACGTCTCTTTATTTGACAGCAGTAATAATTTAGAATTATAAAAACCCCTTTTTCAGTGTTGAGTATCAGAAGGGCGAGGTTATAAAGAAAAAAAATAAGTGGGATTGGAGCTGGGGCCGGGCGGGATAACGGGGACTAAGTCAGGAGTTCACTCATTCAGTGACAACTATCGGCCGTCCCCAGCTGGGGATGCTGGGGGGAGGCAGCATCGTGATGCTTTCATTTTAAAGACTTCAAAGCAGTAAGGGAGAGGATCCAAGGGGAGGAGGAGCAAAAGAAAGGAAGGGAAAGGAAGGAATCTCAAATCCGTACGAACAACCTTTCCATTGGGAATCACAACCGCGAGCTCAGCGCCTCGGGGGGGGGCCCGGCCAGGGAGCTGGGCACTGCTCAAAGTCCATGCACCAAAGGGATGGTTTATTAACTGACAGAGCTCTTTCCCCCCATCACAGGACTTGAGGCTTCTCGTCTCTGAAGGAGCCAGAGTCTCCGTGCCTTCGGAACTGGAAAGGGAACCTGGGGCACTGCCTCCCCACCCCGTCCACACGCCTGCCCCTCGCTCTGCTTTGGAAGCCCCGGTCGATGGCTGGGGAAGGGGGGGGAAAGGACAAAGGGCCCCGGGGACAGGGGGGTTTGGAGGAAGATTCATGAGTTGTTCGATGAGTTTTCGTTACTTGGTGAACTGGAGGAAGAGGAGGAGGAAGAGGAGGAGAAGTTCATCCCTGTGAGTCCTGGGGGGTTTGTGGCAGTGTTTTGTCCACTTAGGCTCTTCCGGCACACAGGACACGTGTCGTGCTGAGGAGACAGAACCAGCACATGAAATGTGGGAAACAGGGTTAGAAACACGACAGGGGGGCAGCACTGGAGGAAAAGACCATGGGGACACTCCTTGGGTCAAATGCTCCAGCCTCATCATAAGAATAGTCACAGAGGGGAACGGTGCCACCAGGAGAAAGCCCCAAGTGCCCCGAGTCCCCATCACCCACACGGGCAGCACTGACCTGCTCCAGCCACGGGACTATGCAGCTGTTGTGGAATAGGTGATTGCATGGTAACTGTCGGACGCTTTCCCCGACTGTGTAGTCTTCTTTACACACAGGACACTCTAACCCAGAATCTGCACCGGGAAGGGAAAGCAAAACACAGCTCAGGGAAGGAGAGAATGAGGCTGAGCCAGGACCCTGTCACCTCTTCTCCTCCCCCCTTTCAGCCCTGCAGACAGGAGTTTGGTGCTTTGCAGTTCCTACCACAGCTCCACCTCCTGCTGCCCCGGGTTCACTTCATTGCTCCCTTCCCTTCTGCTTGCTCAGCTCTATCCACACTGAGCTTTTCAGAACAGCCTCCCCCCGGCAAACCCATCCAGTCCATGCTCCTCTTGCTTTGGTGTGAGCACCACAGAGCAACGCTTCAGCACTCTGCCTCTTTGAAATGTTTTAGGCCTTGAAGGTACCAGCAGACAAGATTAAAGCCCCAGGAAAACATTCCCAGTGGTCCTGGTGACCGATTCCCTGGAGGAGACACACGTACCTACGTGCTCCTGTGCGATCTGTATGGTGGGGAGGGCCTGGATCTTCTCCTTGTCCGCAGGTGGCGGTCCAGTGTTTTCAAACTGATTTAGTAACTGGAAAACAAGAGGCCACCAAAGTTAGGTGTGAGCTCAGCAGTGCAAAGGATCCCTTCATTTCCTGAACCCTGCAGCACCACAGGAGGGGACAGGAAGCTCCATTACCTGTGTAATAATGGCGTCCAAGCCGTTGGCACCCCACGCGTAGTCCATCGGGTTCGAATGCAAGACCCCCCTTGAAGAAGAAGGACAACAATTACATTTGGCTGGGAGCACGGACAAGAGCACTGCCAGGAAGAGCAGTACATCTCCCAACTCACCAAGGACCTAGTCCTAGGTTTGGTATTGTTGTAGGTGCAATAATTCCATTGACCAGCTGCTGGATAATTCTGGAAGACAAGAAAACCAGGATTATTGGAGCAAGGCCAGAGGAGGCCACAGAGATGCTGCCAGGGCTGAAGCAGTTCTGCTCCCGAGCCAGGCTGAATCAGCCCAGAGAAGGCTCCTGAAGGGGAGACCTGAGAGCAGCTCCAGTGCCTAAAGGGGCTGCAGGAAACCTGGAGAGGGGCCTGGGACAAGGGCCTGTAGGGACAGGCCAAGGGGAATGGCTTGAACCTGCCCGAGGGGAGACTGAGATGAGCTCTTAGGCAGAAGCTCTTCCCTGTGAGGGTGCTGAGGTGCTGGCACAGGGTGCCCAGAGAAGCTGTGGCTGCCCCATCCCTGGCAGTGTTCAAGGCCAGGTTGGACACAGGGGCTTGGAGCAAGCTGCTCCAGTGGAAGGGGTCCCTGCCCGTGGCAGGGGTTGGAGCTGGAGGAGCTTTAAGGTCCCATCAACCCAAACCACTCTGAGACAGGCTGAGTGCTCAGCAGGAGGAAAAGGAGCGATACCCTGCAGCCTGCTCCCCAAACTGACAGAAGCTTCGGGGCTGATTTCCAGCTGTAGAAGAGCTGAGACCAGGGCCCCTGTTCTCACCCTTCGAGCGTGGGGACCCCCTCGTGCCTGCCAGCAGCACGGCGGGTGGCGAGCCGGGCGCGCGGCTGCCTGGCGCCGTAGCGATGCCGCGACTGGTGCTCCCGCTCCCGCCGGTTCTCCGAGTCCCTGTTGTCCTCCGACTGCACGTTGGACCCGAACGGGAACTCAAAGGTGTCATCAAAGATGCCAAAGGCAAACTGGCCGTAGCCCTGTGGCAAGGTGAATAAGTGCTGATCCACGTTCTGTGGGGGGGGGGGGGGGGGAGAGAGGTCAGAGAATGGATTGGAGCAAGGAGAGAAACAGCTCTTGT